CCTTGAGGGGGGAGTCTCCCCATCACAAAAGAAAGGGGTTAACTCTTTCAGATCTGGATGCTGGCCCAGAGCCCTGCCTTGTCCCCAGAGAGGAGACAAACCTCCTCCCAGCACTCAGCAGGGGACACTGGGCCCCCTCCCCACAGTCCAGCAACCAGCCACAGTGAGGCAGGGCTGCCGAGACTTAACCCCATGAGGCCTAGAGATGGTGACCATTGCTCAGATCCACTGAGCCCACAGCCTGTCACACTGGGCCCCAGAACTTCACAAGGCTTCCCAGCCCACAGGGTGGGAGGCCTTTGCTCTCTGGGGACCCCAGTGCTGACCTGGCCTTGTCCACACGCCCAACTGACCACACACATGGAGACACCCCATAAGTGTCACTTGGGGCTGGCTCCATAGAGAAAAGGCACCCAGAAGTCAGTGAAGCCAGGGAGGGGGGTGTGTGGTCACAGGGTGAGGCGGCCTGGACCTGGGGTACACGTAAGTACCTGTGCTCGTCCCCTCACTGGACTGGGCACCATCACAGGTCCTGTGCTCCCTAGCCCCACCCTCACCAAGTACTGGACCCCGCGAGGCCACCCCTGTCTCCCACCTTCTCCAAACAGTCCCCATACCCCCTCGTGAGTGCTTGGATCCACCAAGCCCACAACTAGACACAGACACCCCATAACCCTGTGTGATGACTCTGGGGGTGCAGGGGACTGACCCTCAGAGACCCCCTCCGGGCTGCGTGAAGATCGCTGCCTGGGTGAGGTCCACAGGTTTCCCTGGAGGCACCTCCTACCCTGTCTGCAGAACTTTCCAGAAAAAACCATGAGCTGAGTGCAGGTGGAGTTTCAGCAGACTCACAGCTACGGGGGTGGGGGGTGGGGGCAGGAACTTGCCGCATGAGAAGGGGTCCCCAACACCCCGTGCTATATAACCAGCTGCAGAAGGACAGCAAGCCTCCGCTAAATCCCACAGTGCACACACATACACGCATGTATACATGCATGTGCACCCACAGAGATATTGGGAGCACATGTACACGTACACTCACATGCACACATGCATACGTGCGCGTGTGCATCTAAGAAAATGCAAACACATGAACATGTTCTTATGTGCGTGTTTATATGTATGTGCACCCACACCGAAAAGTGCTGGGAGCACATTGCACACATTCACACATACTCAAATACATGCATGCACATGTGTGTGCAGGTACATAGTGACATGAATGCATACACATGCATGTTAACCCAAGCACGGTTTGCTGGTGTTGCTATCAAGTGCCATCAAACAGGTTCCAAGCCATAGAAAGCTTGTATCGGGTTTCTGAGGAGCGGCTGCTGGCCTTGAACCACCAACTTTGCGGTTATCGGTACAGTGCCGCCTATCCTACCCCTCCACACCAGGACTCCACACAAACACATATGCACGTGTGTATACATAATCACACAAGCACATAGATGCTCCCACAAGCACATGTATACATTCACATGCATGTTCAAACAAGTACTGCAGACATTCACACATACACATACATGCTCACACGAGATGTGTGCACGCATGCACACACCTATACTTGTGCACATACACACATGAACATCTGTGCACATACAGCCACCACAAGATCATCTAAACTCATTACATTGATGTGTAACCAGAGGAACTGACTCTGCGGAGAGCAGGGACCCGGGGTGGGGGGCACCAGAGAAGCTGGCCACGACCTACAGTCTCAGCTTGTGGTGGCCTCAACTCCACACTCTGGTTCATTGTCTTCTTGTTTTGTCCTTTGCCTTTGAAATCTGAAGGTGGTGCGTCACATGCATGTCCTTTGACACACCCCCTCCCTTCGTGCCTGCACACTGTGAAACTGTCCTAACTGACCTCAGTCACAATGAGTCGCCACCCAGGGCAGGTGGGTCTTTTCCAACTTCCATCTGGGGACAGCAATATGTCGCTTCCACGCAATAAAAACCCTGGTCATTGGAGCTGTTCCCCCACGTCCTCGCCCAGTGGGCAAAACTAGGTGATATCCACTTGTATCTCGCTCTCTGAGATACAACAGTCCCAACACAGAGACCCCAAGACAAATCCCCCCAATGCAGACGGGAAGTTAGCTGGGGCCTGTGGTCAGACCAAGGGCCCAGTCTGCCCCCACACAACCACCAGGAACCAAGTGACACTCCCCAGGAATGTCTGGCTAGCTCATCTGGGGACATGGGTCACCAACACATGCTGAACCACAAGCGCCAAATCACAGATCAGGAATAAGCCTACTCTGAGAAGAGGAAACCAAACAGAAGGAACCGCTGAGTAAAGGCAGTTCATGGAAAGTTCCACGGGAGGAACATGGGGGCACAGCTGAGTGGCGGGTAGGAACCAGGGGCAGCAGAGACCCGGGGCAGTGACTGCCTGCCGGCCACACCTTCACAGGCATGAAAACCCACCTGAGGGACAGGGGCCAGGTCAGAACTGTGGGGTTTCACTCAACCAGGCCCGAGAAGCGTCAACACATGGCTTGGGGGAGCAATTTCCTTGACTGAAGTTCTGTGGGTCTTCAGCCAGCTCAGTTCACCTGTGTTCCCAAGTCAAGACCATCCCTACGTGCTTGACCTGAAGTCTTCTTCACCCTCCTCCCGTTCTGTAACACATGTCTACCTAGAAGCCAAAGGTATAGACTGACCACTTCTGATAGTAACAGGGAGCCACAAACACTCACTCAACTGTCCTTTTTCACATGCAGAGGAGGAACCTCAGAACAAAACAAAATGCCTCTCCCAAGTCTTTCAGAAATGCTGATGGAGAGTGGTGGAGAAGTAACCCGGCTCCCCAGGCTGGGGTCATTGGGAAAGGGGCCCATTTGGAGCCCCCAGCAAGCAGGGGAGGGGGTGGGATGAGCTGAGCCACTGAGTCTCGTAGCTTGAGGCTGATGCACAAAGCAACATTGATCTTGGCCTTGCCTGGAACCCTCCGTGGCCGATCAATTTCCACTGCTGAGCTAGAAAAGGGGCTGCGCTTTTCAAGGTAGGTCAGAGCACCAGCCGCAGGCCCAGGACCGCCAGGCACAGCCAGAGGGACTCCATGCCAGGGACGGTCCAAGGACAGTCCAGTTATCAAGCTACAAGCCACAGCCCCTGACCTGGGCTGGAGAACTCACTCAGCCTTCCATGGCGACCCCCACCCGGAAAACAGGGAGGGCTCTGGGGAGGGAGCCCAACACTGCCGGGCACCTGCACAAGGAGCCTGCTGACCACTACCATCAAGCCACCAGCCTGCCAGCTGCGTCCCCCAATGTCCTGTGAGCAGCGCCCAGCCTCACCGGGAGTCTGGGCTGGGGATCCACTCCACAAACCCTGAGACTGACCTCCCAGGGCCCAGCCACCCAGCATCCCTGAGAACCCCTTAAGGCACGGGCAATCTGGCTCAGCACAAGCTGGAGATTTGGGGTGAGGGACTGGAAACTGTCCCCAGCTTGAAGCTCTGTGATGGCATGCTGAATGGAACCCCCTTGTATGGGTCCCTACCTGGCACAGATCCTACATTTTCTCCCAGCTTCAGAACTTTCTCATCATAAACCACAGCCTCCTCCTCAGCCCGTAGGGGCCCAGAGCCCGTTACCCCACTGCACCCCAGCACCAGTTGGAGGGTCAAGCAACTTAAGGAGTTAAAGAGGCATCCATAAGTCTGAGACACCCTCAGGCATTCTCATGTTAGGACCCTCAGACCACGCAGAAGCCCCCCCCACTGCACCCAGCCCTAGTTCAAGAACCTCTCAGGGACCACGGGACCTCAACCCAGGAGGGACGGAAGCAGAATCAATCTGAAGACTGACCCCAGGCACCCGCCCACTCCTCGCCCTGGCTGGGGGCCTTGGACTCCTCCCCGCCCTGCCCTGCCCTCCGGGCTTGCCCTGGGAGCTTCCTTGCCCTAGCCCCAGGGCTCGGCTACCAGCTATGTCCTAACAGTGCTGGAGAGCCCTGGGGGACTGCCTGTGGACGCTTGCAGGCAGGGAGCTGCAGCTAGAGAGCGCGGACCCCAGGTCTGCACCAGTGAAGCCGGGCCCAGGTGGACGCTGGGCTGCTTCCTCAGTTTACCCATTCAGTAAGAGGGGTGGGTCCACGTGCCACGGTTTTTACACAGAAAAACCAGGCTGACCAAACACTCACTGGGAGGCCCAGAGGGGCATTCTCAAGGCTAACCCCACACCCCTCAAACTGCTTACAAGGGCCCCTGTCTCTGCCACCAAGGGCCATGGGCCACCAGGAGCTGCTTCACAAAGGCCACTTATGGGGTCCTGCCCTCTTCCTGTAACACTGGAGCTGAACCCACAGGGACAGCATCTCAGTGCGCAGACAAAGGCAAGAGGCCACGTCTCATTAGTTGGAAGTTCCTCCTCTGTGCACCCCAAGTTCATGTACCACCCCTAAACCATGCCAGCAGCAGTCCAGGCAAAGACCCACCCTCCGACAGAGGGCAGACCCCTTCCTGGCCCGGGGCGCCCTTCTGTGGGACAGAGGAGGGTCAGCCTGTCCAAGGTCAGGCACGAATGGGACTCCCGCCAGGGCTGCTCCGGCCCTTTGCCCCAGGATCCAAGGGAGGACGCAGGCAGGCCCTCCGGGGGTCCTCAGCGCTCCGCCAGACCCGGTGCTGAGCGCCCCCTCACCTGAGAAGTCTCTACAGCTGCCCCCCCACCGTCTCACAGACCCCCCCACACGTCGGGGTGTGGGGGGCACAGGGCCCCCGGAGGGGTGCCCATCACGGAGAGGGTAGGGGGCGCAGAGGAGCACTGTGGGCGGACGGCAGGGGTTCTGGGGGGTGCGTGGAACTATGGGGGAGCAGTGGCAAGTGAGCGGACTCGATGGGGAGGAAACGGGAAGTGAAAAGAAGGGAGTCCGAAGTCCCATAGCGCCTCTCCCTCGCCGTCTCGGGGTCCCTGGCTCGCGACCCGCCATCGTCCGCAGGTGCGCCCCTCTCCCTGTGCTTACCCAGACTCGGGCTCGGGCTCGGGCTCGGGCTCGGGCGGTCGGACTCGGGCCCCGCGCGGTCCTCGGGGCAGCCCTGCACCTCCGGTGGCCCGGTCGCCTCGTCTCCGCCGTCCTGGGCCTGGGTCGCGTCTGCCCGCGCCTCCACGGGCACCACGGTGAAATTGGTGGGCATGGCGGGCTCGGTGCCTGCGCGTCCCGGTCCTCACGCCCGCCCGCGAGGCCGCTCCTGGAGACTCGGTGACCCCGCCCCGGACGACGGACCGCCCCTGATCGGCCCCGCCCCCGGCCCGGCCCCGCCTCGCTCCGCCGCGGCCCGAGCCCGGAAAGACCCCGCCCCCCGCCGGGACCAACCGACAGACCCCGCCCGTCCCAGGTGACGCACCTGCCCGCCCCCCGCCACCGTGTCCCCAGGAAAGTTTCCCCGGTCGCGACGCGCCTTCCGACTTCCCCGGCCTGCGGGAGGGCCTTGCACCCCCAGCCTGACCCCGCTTCGGGGAGTGGATCGTGTAGGGTCCCTTCCTTCACTGCCCGCCTTCTCTCTCGACAGGACAGCCCCCTCCCCTCACGCTACTTCCCAACCCTCTGGGGCCGTCTTTCCTCCCCATACACACTGCACACCCCCTTGTAGATCGAGTTGCGGTTCTGCATTGCCCCCACCCCCATGCTCTTTTAAAGTGCTCTGGGCACTTGTCCACACAGGACATACGCCTGCACCCAAGTCACTAAACCCCAGGGGAGGCCTGGTCTGCGCATTCTCCGCAGCTCCCCTGTCCAGTATTAACCCCTAACACCTCTTTGAAGTTACTGTTTGTCCAGGGCACTATCCAAGACAAAGCCCGTGGGATATAGGTCCAGAAGCCCCCCAGTCTAAGGACCTGGCACCAAGGAAGTCAGCAGGCCCTAGTGAAGGCAGGGATGGGAACACAGGGCACCTTCTGGGGTTTTCCGGCCTGGTGAAACCCCTAAGGAATACACAAAAGTCTGGGGGTAGTCAGAGGCCCACCCACAGAGGATTGCTCCACAGAGTCAACCAAGCAAAGTCACCCCCAAACTGTTTTGCAACAAGAAGTTGTTATGAATGGGGAAGAGACTGAGGCCCAGGCGATAAGGACTGGATTGAAATCCCAATCCCTACCTTAAGGCTGATGGGCCCTGTGTGGAAATGGAGTTTTCTTTTGTTATGTTAAGGAGGTGCAGCCTCCTTTAACTTATTGGATTTAGGGTGGGTCCTAAATCCAGTCCCACTGAATGGGGTCTAACAAAGAGGACAGAAGGCCCAGAGACAAAGACACAGACAAACTTTGTGAAGATCTCTCTACAAGTCAAGGAATGCCTGGGGCTATGGACCAGGAGGGACCCTCCCTCAGCAAACGCCCTGACCTGAACCCTAACCTTCAGAGCTGCTAGACAATACAGTCTTGTTCTCTGGGGCCGTCTACTTGGCATATTTGTGTTTTAGCAGCTCTAGGGAAGGAAACTGCAGTTCAGAGTTCTACCCCAGTACTCAGGGTTACCAAGCTTTCCTGTTGACAATAACCAAAGACTCTGGCTGGTCCTCCAATCTAATCTCTCTGGCAGAAAAAGCCATTGTGTATTGTCAGGGAAGGGAAATTGGGGAGGTTAGAGGCCACGCTTCACACCATGGTGAATACCATTAACATCACTGAATTATACCTATGAAAAATGGGGAAATGGCCAACTTCATCTCTCATACTTCAGACATATTGTCAGGAGGGACCGGTCGCTGGAGAAGGATATCATGTTTGGTAGGGTAGAGGGTTAGAGAAAAAGAGGAAGACCCTCAACAAGATGGATTGGCCAAGTGGCAGCATCGATGGGCTCAAGTGTGGCGACAATAGTGAGGTTAGCTCAGGATAGGGCAGTGTTTCATTCCGCTGTGCATAGAGTCACTATGAGTTGGTACTGACTCGATGGCACCTAACAACAACAACAACAACAACCTTCTTGTTGCAAAACTGTTTAGGGGTGACTTTGTGCATGGTTGACTCTGGAGCAATCCTCTGTAGGTGGTCATGTGACTAGTGCCCTCAGACTTTTGTGTATTCCTTAGGGGATTCACCAGGCAGAAAAGACCCAAAAGGTGCCCTGTGTTCCCCAGCCTTCACTACGACCTGCTGTTAGATGCTGTGCAGTCCTTTCAGACTCTGAGGTGACAAATACAAATGAAATTTGTTGTTGTTGTTAGGTGCCATCAAGTTGGTACCAACCTGTGCAGCGCCCCTATGTTCAACAGAATAAAACATTGCCAGGTCTGGGGCCAACCTCACAATTGTTGCCATACCTGAGCCCATCGCTGCTGCCACCATGTCAGTCCACTTCACTGGGGGTCTTCCTCTTTTTTTCCAACCCAACCTTCCACCTAACCGAACATGATTGTCCTTCTCCAGTGACTCGTCCCTCCTGACAACATGTCCGAAGTATGAGAGATGAAGTTTGGCCATCCTGGCCTCCAAGGAGCACTCTAGCTGTACTTTTTCCAACACAGATCTGTTTGTTCCTTTGGCAGTCCATGGTACTTTTAAATTTCTCCTCCAACACCGTACCTCAAATGCATCAATTCTTCTACAGTCTTCCTTATTCACTGTTTAGTGAATTATTATAAAATCAACACTGCAATCACTCTCTCAAGAACAAGAACTATCAACCCCAAAAGCCTCTGCATGAGACTAGTCCCACCCTTCCCCACCCCACCCCCAAAAGCAACTCTCCTAACACCATGCAACCACTTCCTTCCCTTTCATTATGGTTTGTTTGTTGGTGTTTTTTTTTTTTTTCATCAAGAGTACCATGGTAGCAGGAGACACAGGGAGGAATGCAAGAGCTAATGAACAGAGGTAAATATTGCTAACTGATGGTACATGAAGCAAAGTATATGATATGTTGAATGTAAAACTGATGATCTGCTCTGTAAACCTTCACTCAATCACAATATAAAGTTAAAAAGAAAGTTATGTTTCCTTAAAAAATAAACAAGAGAGTACAGTCATGCATATCACAGCTTGGCTTTGCCTATTTTTCAATATATGTCTTCTCAATTTCTTCTTATTCACAATCTCCCTTCCAGCCTTCCTCTCCAGTACAGGCAGAGCCTCCAGCGTTCTGCAGTAATGTATTTGCCCCAGGACAGGGAACCTGCAGGGATCTGGATACAATGT